CAATATTCCACTAAAGGAGCTACCCAAACACTACTGTTCGGCAATGCAGGTCAGGCTATTTTGGTCATAAAAGCCAAAGCACACTCAGGTAGCCGAGTAGTGGGGACTGTTACAGACTGTTGTTAAAAAGAGGGAGAGAGAGAATGAAATATTGGGCACTCCTGGAGAAGTAAGGAAGTACAGGCATACCTTGTGTTTGTGCTTTGAAGACATTGCATATTTGATTAAATGAAGGTTTGTGGCAACTCTGCTTTGAGCAAGTCTATTGGTGCCATTTTCCCAACAGCATTAGCTCCCTTCCTGTGTGTCTGTCACATTTGGATAATTCTGGCAGCATTTCTAGATTTTTCATTCTTGTATTTGTTATGGTGATCTGTGATCAGCGATCAGTGATCTTTTACGTTACTGTTGTAGAGATTCCGACCCACTGAAGGCTCAGATGATGGTTAGCGTATTTTGGCATAAATATTTTTAATGAAGGGTATGTACATGTGTTTTTCAGACATAATGCTATTGCTTACTTAACAGACTACAGTATAGTGTAAACATAACTTTTATATGCATTGGGAAACCAAAATATTTGTGTGACCCGCTTTATTGTGATATTTGCTTTATTGCTGTGGTCTGGAACCGAACCTGCAGTATCTCTGAAGTGCGCCTGTGCAGAGCAGCCAAGTCTGATGCAGCACTGGAAGGTCAGTCTGGAACCAAACCAGGGCTAGGAATTGAATTATCTCATCTCAATAGCAGTCAATTGAATTTTAATCTAAATGTAACTTGAGCAGCTCTCCTGCTGTTTGTTGCTGTGTTTCTACACTCTGCTTTTTCACTGCAAACTGACAACTTATCACCTGATCGATTTTCTCCACCTCATCCTTACTCATGGTTTCTGCTTCTTCCTAATGTTGGCTCATGTGTGCCTCTTCTGCTTTATAGCTTCATGGTATTACTGTAGTTTCCTCTCCCCCTGGCAATCAATTTTTAGAATTACCTAGCATAGAATTTGGAGCAAGAATCTGAAGTGGCCTGACTTACCATGGCTGAGCAGAGCTATACTACCAACTGGCTATCTCGAAGGCCATTCCCAGCAATTTTTGTCCTTGGATAAGGTTCTGCCTCTGTTCCAGCTGGGAAGGGTCACAAAGGGACAGGTAAGATCCCCCTCCTCCAGCAGTGGCCATGGAGGGGACTGTTTCTTTCAGATGGAGCTCTGGAAGAAACTATGTAACTCATCTAATGCTTGTGAGTACCATCAAAACATAAAAAAAAAAAAAAAAAAAGAAAGGAAATATGTAACTCATCTAATGCTTGTGAGTACCATCAAAACATAAAAAAAAAGAAAAAAAAAAGAAAAAGAAAGGGGAAAGATAAGATATATGTGAGTATGTGGTATTCAGAGAATAACTTCCTATCTACACTCACAAAACCAGGCACTGTAGGATAATTGTAGATGAAATGAGATATTAAATATGTTTGTGAATAGCTGATTTGATTTAGAAAGACGACTGCTATTTCCCTGCAGGGGTATCAAATGACTGGGTTTATTTTCTCAAAGACCTTAGTAACACATGCTTGAAAAAGCTTAGCATTTAAAAAAAAAAGAAAAAGAAAAAGAAAGAAAAAGCTTAGCATTTTCACTTGAATATAAATGTGACACTGTCGAAATCATAAAAACTCTCTAAAACAATTTTTGGAGAAAGCTTCATAGATGAGAGAAATGCATAAAAATTATAAAGAGGTCAAATATAAATACCAATCAAGAAAGGTGAAATAGACCAGTATTTTTCCATCATAATTGGCCCCCCTCCTAAATCTTAATTTCATTTGGAATTCAATCTACGTAATTTCTTTTTCAAATTCCATTTAGAATATCCTGTTGATAACGTGTAGCTTTTCATGCAGTGTGCCCACTTGAAGAGAGATCTTTTCTGAAGCACTGTTTGCTCTCTTATTTAGCTTCTTTACAAAATATGGGTATCTTGATTATTCCATGCTGAGTGAAACACTTTAGCACATTCACAAGGTAATGTTACTTAGAATCATCTTTCAGGATGTTTTCCTTCTTCCCCTAATTTCTTGCCTTGCGGCTGAAAGGCATGGTATGCAAATTGATTTTTACAATCTTGTATTTTTTTCATGGCCTTCCTCCCCTCTTTCTTTAGTATAAATTTCAGTAAGTGAGACCATCTATCTTAGGTCTGATGATAGCTGAAGGTTCAATAGTTTTTCCTAGCATTCTCTTCCCTGATTCTCTTTTCTGTTGCACTGCAAGTAAAAAAGAAACCGAACAAAACCTCCTGTCTTCATTTAACATTTTGTGTCTTAATCTTCTCCATAGATTTTTTTTACACTTAATATACATTTGATTTTTTTTTTAAACAGTCTGATGGATCATTCCTTCAATATTTACAAAGTGTCTACTAAGTGTTAGGCACTGTGCTGGATGCTTCACCAGATATGTTGCAGTTTCTCGCTGGTCTCTTCGATTGTCTTTCTGTGTATGTTTTAGGGACAACATGATGGTATTCTGTAACATTGTAATGTCAATAAAATAATTTTAAAAATATCATTTATTATTTCTAGTTATTTTCCATCTAGAAGGAACAATATTTTATCTTTCTTTAGGCTTACCTGTTGGTAAGCTATAGATTGGACTTTATAGGGGAGAAGAGGAAGTTCAAAACGTACCATTGATCTGCCAAATTCAAAAATTAAGGTCATTTTATATTCAGAACTCAAATTACTATAATGACTGTCTTTATAAGTGATGTTACCATCACATTTCAAATACAGTGGAATATTTCACACATAAATTACATTTTAAATTCAGATTTTTAAATTACCAGTCCTAGGTTGTTCTCTTTATCTCTTTTTCCTTTACAATAAATCTTACCAATAGATCCCAGACTCCCTCCTTGCAGTCTGTGAGTTTTTTGTGTCTGCTTGACTGGGCTAGGGGGTGCCCAGATAATTGGTCAAATATTATCCTGGATGTTTCTGTGCAGGTGGTTTTAGATGAAATTAACATTGAAATCAGTAGACTGAATTGCCTCCACGGTGTGGGTGGGCCTTGTTCAATCAGTTGAAGGCCTGATTAGAACAAAAGGTGCGACCTTCCCTGAATAAAGGGAGGGAGTAGTGTGGAGGGAGAAGACTGTATTCTATAAAAGCACATCATCACGTCAGGGCCATAAAAGACAGAAGGCAGCCATGGAAATGATTCAGGGTAAAAGAGGTCAAGGGAAGGCAAACATAAATATTAAAATGAAAATGGTAAAATCTTAACAATAGGTGAATCTGGATAAAAGATGTGTTGATGCTCTTTGCAATATTCTTATTCTTGTCAAATTTTTGGTAAATTTGAAATCAGTTGAAATTATTTCCAGATGAAAAGTTAACCACCAAATACAATTATATCATTTTGTTTAAAGTTTGAGGAGGATCCATTTTAAACATCCAAAACACAGCAATGCTCTTCAAATAAAAGAATGGTCCTTTAAATTGAATAAATTCAGACTCATGAAAAAAACTTATCACATTATTGTAACTGTTCTCATTTCCCTGTGGACCAAGGACAGCTGTGTCAGCTTGGGGTTGGGAATTAGCATTCTAAATGGTGCATTTTCAGTAATGGGGAAAGCGTATGGAGACTGGAGACAAGTGCTGAATTCAAATCCTGGCTCCAGCATGTACCAGCTTTGTAACCTAAGCTCTCTTAGCCAATTTCCTCATTTGCAAGTGAAGTAGCTAAATCATGGGGCCGTCAAGAGAATTAAACTAATGTACTGAGAATAATGCTTGACATAAAGATGCTCAACAAATGTCTCCTCTGCCCTTTCTTGGGAGCCACCTTTGTGTTCTCCGGAGATGTACCAGACTGGGGCCACACTGGTCCTTTCCTCCTTGACCCCAAAACACAAACCCTCTAGGGTTATATAAGAAACTGAATTATTCTGAGAATAAACCTCATTTCTGGAGGTAAATTTCATGAAAACAGAAGCTGGAGATACTGTATAGTAGAATAAAAAGATAGAAGACTTATAAAAACAGATGAATTGAGGCATGACTGGTAACTGATGAGTTCTATTAAAGAGGTAAAGACAAGAGGAAGGAAGATAGTACTGGTTTGTTAGAAAAGTCTGCTGATCAAGAAAAGAAAACAGTATCTATTATCCTCATACATTCACAAGTCTATTTTGCAAATGACCACCCTTCTACTTCCAAGAGTGAATAATAATTTGTCAAAAAGAAACAGTATTAAAATCACCAGTTCTTTTTACCAGCTATGTACCTCTAAAGAAGAAAAACGAATTCAGTAAAATGCCCATAAATTATGAGACTTCATCCAATTGTCTATTGTTTGTTTGCTTCTTTCAACATAGTTCCTGTTTATATCTAACAATGATTTCCTTTTATGTTGCTACTGACGGCAATTCTTTAAAGTCTATTTCTTAAAATGGGAGAAAATAATTTAAAAAATAAATTGCATTATAGCAGAAAAACCTATATTGCCAACAGAAATTTAGTTTAACATTTAAAATCTTTATAAAAGATAAGCAAATTCTAAATTTTTCCTTTATTTTTTATCATAATTGAAAAATGAAATCACTTAACAGGAATACTTGATACATAATTAATTTTCCTTAAAACTTCTCTATGGTGAAACAAAACTGTACATATTTAAACTGTATGTAAATCATTAACCCTCATGACAAGTTCAAACCAACTAGCATTGGTATAGCTTGAAATTATTATTAGTTGTGGTTATTTATGGAAAAAAGGCGCAAAGCTTATTTGGGCCCGGCACACCAGAAAGACTTAACTTTACAATGTCACAGAGTTCAAAGTGGCAGTATAGTGTTGAAGACACTATAAATTGCCACCTTCTCATAAGTCTCTTAAAACAAAAGTTGGAAAAATACTCAGTACCTCAAATATAATAACTAACAAAAATATTTCTGTTAACTACTTTTTGCCCAGAGTGATTAAGGACAAAAAAATAGGAATTCTTGTTTCTTTATTATCTGATAAACTGCTAATAAGCTCCGGTTAGAAGTTCTTTAGACATTACACCAAGTCGTCTTGGTCTTCTGATCATATATATATTCACATATATATATGCAGTTTTTCAAGTAAAGAAATTGTTTAACAGATGTAAACTATTTATTGAATATTTGCCACCAAATATTGTTAAATACATTATCTTGCAGCATATCGCTTTCAAGTTAAAATGTCAGAAACAAACACCAATATTTACAATTCTTTTAAGGAATGTTATATAATGACACATTAAGGCGTAAATTCTTTTGGCTTATAATTCTTAAAAGAATGATAATAGCAAAAGTGATGCAAAATCTTCAGTGTGAGATTATGATTAAGCTACATTTTACAAAAATATGGTGTAAGATGGCAATAATCCCATTCAACATCCTGGATTAGATCCCTTCAGGAGGGACTGATAATTTATACAGTCAAACTTTAAAATTTACAGATAAAGGCAGTCCAATACTGCCACTGAGAAGTACATCTCTTAACATATACAACTTTCAGGCCACAGTTTTGAAGGTCTGAAGTATCAAGTTGGTTTGATGAATTAGTCGGTTGGCACTTATGAACACATTTATTGCCCTGTTTAAAAAAAAAAGAACAAGCATTAATTTTATCTAAAAAATTCATCGTTTAAAAATATTTATAGTTAAAATGCCCTACCAACAGTAACAATAAAGTCAATTTAGGGGGAAAAAAAGAGGGGGGGGCAAATTAGTATTGAGTATCGTAACTTTTACTCCAGCTTCGAACTGGATGGTCCTGCATTCATTTGAAACTATCTAGGAACTACTGCCCCCTGGTGGTTCTAGCTGGCAATAAAGTGTTGGTGGGCTGCTAATGATGGGTGGTGCCCCAACAACCAGTTTATTTACAGGTCGAACAAATAAGTGGTCAATGAAGAGGATTCAAATGTGGTCTCCAGCTGTGGTTTCACAGAATTTACCAAAATAAAATCTGCTAAAATATTATACTCAGTTTCAAAATCTGTATATCAATGGGCATGATGAATACTTAAGACAAAGCTTATTATTTCTAATCTGATCCATTCCAATTTATTATCTTCTTTCAAAAAAAAATCTGAGAATTTTAAATCACTCTTAGAATTAATATACTTTTAGGGGGAAGCATATAGCTCAGTGGTAGGGTGCATACCTAGCATGCATGAGGTCCTGGGTTCAATCCCCAGTACCTCCATCAAAAGAAGGAAAGAAAGAAATCTAATTACTTTTCCCCAGAAAATAAATAAATAAAAATAAACATGACAAAACCTTTAAAAAAAGAATTAATATTCTGAATGCAAAATAATCACACGGTTTCAAAATTTAGGAGCTGACAATATATAAAGATATGTTCTTAAACATTACTTTGTGCTGCACCACATTTCCTATCAGCTCATTTTCATGTGACCTGCACATGAAGCTGAAGCCCTAGGTATCCGAGAGAGACTGGTTCCAAGAATCAAAATCTGTGGATGCTCAAGTCCCTTATATAAAATGGTGCAGTATTTGTATATAATTTACACGCATCCTCCTGTGTACTTTTAACAATCTCTAGGTTACCTGTAATGCCTAATACAATGTAAATGGTATGCAAATAGTTGTAAATACAATATAAATGCTATGGAACTTTCTGGAATTTTTTGCCCCCAAATATTTTCAATCTGCAGTTGGCTGAATCCAGGGATGCAGAACTTGTGGATACAAAGGGTCGACTATATCTTCATCCTAGACATTCCTCAAAAAGAGGAGACTAGAATGAATTAGCTGAATCAATACAAATTCATCCTCCTATTGCAAGATGGCTCAAAGATCAGGATCTATTAGTAATTTTCAGTTTTGAGGAAACAGGCACAAAACTTGTGGCACATTATTTAAACATAAATAATCGTAATTTAAAGAAGCTGCTGAATGGAGAAAAAGTAGTAGCAGGGAGCCTAAATAATCCATACACCTGTTTAAACTGTTAAAAATACCTTTGGGACCAAGGCACTGAACCCAAGTCATTTTAATGTACAAACAGGAATGAGAGTAAATAATTTCAGATTAATGAAAAGTAGGTTCTAAATGTAGGTCTACCTTTTAATGTGCTTATTCCACGACAGTTCTTAATCAGAATTAGAAATAATCCCATCAGGTAATTTTTTTTTAATGTGTTTTGGGTATTAGGGTTTAGCAGAGGAGACCAAGAAAAACAGATGTAAGTTTATTTTCAGAACACACCTGCTAGCTTATCAAACTAAGTCAAGGAAAGTTTTCTCTAGACAACCTGAAGAGTAGTATGGAACAACACAAAATCATTAATAGTATTTAGCTCAATATCTTTAATTTATAATACAAATGTTAATATTTCAACCTGTTTCAACTATTAAAATAACTGACAATTCATCGACCATTCTAATGTATTTTTATTATTTTTTATTATTACTACAATAATATTTTAATAGTTTGCCATAGATAGAGGGATCTTAAAATTGCAATGGTGAGACAGATTGTTAGAGGTCCCTGTCAATCACAGCTGAAATAATCACTATTTATTTTTCTGACTTAAAGCACTATTGGAAATGGCCTTATCCACAAAATTACCAGCATTTTATTTAAGGTACACAGTATATTGAACATACAGAAGTACACAACATATACAAGGTACACTGAAGATAGCCTTTTATCAGCTTATACATCATGTACGTGTGTATCATATGTACAAACACATACAATTTCTTGGTTTTCTAGAGTATTCTACAGCCAACTTTAAGTAAATTTAAAAAATAATGTCCAGTTCACCTTTTTAGTAAACGTCCTGTCTTACAGAAAGCCTCCCTCCTTCCAGGACAGTGGGTCACAACCGTCTGCAGCAGTTTAAAATCGCATGAAGCACTGACAAAACACCTGAGCCCTGGCCCCACTCCAAAGCAATGGAATCAGAATCTCTGAAGGTGGGGCCAAGATACTGGCATTTTAAACACTGAACCCAGGTGATTTTCATGTGCAAGCAGGTTGAGAACCATTGTTTTAGCTCCAGTGCAGCAGTTCTTAACAGACCTGCAGCATCCGCAACATCTGGAAACTTCTCAGAAATGCAAATTCTTGGGCCCATCCTAGACCTACAGAAACAGAAACTCTGGGTGGCACCCACAACGACTGTCATAAGCCCTTCACATGACTCTGATGCTACTAAAGTTTGAGCATCACTGCTTTAGGGGTTGATAAAGTAAGCCATATCTCCCTTGCGGGTAGTTCTGGATGGCCTGCAACCTAAGAATACCTTTACACTTTTAAATAGTTAAAATTAAAAAAAAAATCAAAATATGTGACTGCACAATTCAAATTTCAGTATCCATAAACATGGTTTTATTAGGACACATGCCCACTGGATTCCCTATTGCCTATGGCTGCTTCTGCAATGCAACAGCTGAGGTCAAGCTGCAACACGCCCACCAAGTCAAAAATACTTGCCATAGGGCCCTTTTCAGAAAAAGTCTTGCCAACTCCTGCTTCAGACTAGAGTTATGGCTGGATTATCAACCACTCACTTTTTATTTTTAATAGTCTACCTTAGTAGTCGACTTGAGTATTAATAATACAGTCAAAGGGTTTAACTTATATAGTTTTAATATCATATAAAACAACATAATTTATCTAACTTTAGAAGAAAAGGGTGATAAATGACAATACTTACTTGCCGTCTTTAAAATAGGTTTTCAGAGTATCACTGAAACTTTTGGAGTACTTTACAAATTCTTTCTTTTGGTGTTCAAGTGCCTACAGACATCAAATTAATAAGAAAAAAATACTATGTAAGAAAAGAGAAATAACAAAAGCCAAAGTCAAAGACAGGATATTACACAGAATATGCATGGACCTTATATTACAAATAAGCATTATAGCATATTTAAATTCAAGGACAAATCCAGTGGTTAATGATACAAAACTCTTCCCAATAATCAAACTATCAGTATTTAATTCAATAAAGCAAGTAGGTGTAAACCAACACCAAGGGAGGCAGCTTGTAAGGTTTCTGCTATACTTACCCTGCGGTTCTGGTACTGATATTTCTTGAAGACATTGTTCACTGTATCAAGAAGTTCTTTTATTGCACTAGCTATATCCCTGTTGGGTAAGGAAAAAAGAATCTTCTTAAAATCAGTTACGTTTGAAAGAAGTTTGTATAAGTATTTTAAAAAATACTACACTGTTAATTAGCATATGAACACTGCTTCAACCACAAATACTTGACTGGCTGGTTGAGTAGGGGGTGTGGCCTGGGCACCAAGAGACACCAACAAGAGACACCAACATCTCTTGCATGGCTGACAAAACACTGCACAACTAACACTAACTTCCCCAAATCAGTAACACTTCATTCAGCATTACTTACTCAAATTTGTAAGAAAATACCTCTGCCTCTCTTCTTTTCCTGCTATGATTTTTTCCTTTCTCTGGCTCATGCAGGTGAATTTAAGCAACTATATTATCCACTTTGGCTCTCCCATAAACAATTGCATGAAATTTTCCTATTACATGTCACTCATTTCTGTATTTAAATACTTCAAGTTATTTACGTGATAATTTCGATGTTTAAAATATTTCCTCGATGTTTAAAAAGATTCCTCAGATATTTCCTCAGATATAAAATATTCTCTAAGAAGACACATTTATCTACCTTCTAGCTGACAACTCTGTATCCTCCTCCTTCAAATCTTTGCTGTCCATCACTATTTCCTTTAGAAAATATATTTAAATTTCTGGGAGAGATAACATCAGAATATTCTTCTACTGGAAACTTCCCAACAATCCTTGACTGTATGTCCCAGCACTCTCTCCCCTTTCTAAAGACAGAAGAAATCAGTAGTTCTCATTCGGGATGACTATTCTCATCCATGAACCATTTTTTCTGAATTCTTCTGTCTTTTATATCTACGCCCTTTTCAATTTCCACGTTCTAACTTCACAGCAATTTTTTTGGCAAACTGCACTTAATGCAATTCTGCATTGTCAAATAGCCTCTCATTCTCTAAGGCAAATCTTCTCATTTTCACATCCATTCTCTTAGCTGTTACTTGCCACAAAAACTTGCTGCTCAGATGCAAAGCAAGTGGGAAGATACGAATTAGTAAAACATCAATCTGACCACACCAAACATAATCTTTTATTACCTACTTTTTAATCACAAATGTCAGATTTCAGTTATTTCGTACCTAAAACAGTTCAGCTTTCCTACCGAAAGAAAACCAAAGTGCTCCGCATCCAGACTCGTGTGTGTGTGTGTGTGTGTGTGTGTTTCATAGCTTATTTCTAGTAAACAAGTATATGGAAATTCTAAAAATTACAAATATACAGGATTTTGGTATACCATTCTGAAGCAATATGATATTTTTATTAAATATTTCAATAAATATTTCTTTATTACTGCCTGTATGTCAAACATTGATAGCAGGCTAAAACATTAGAACATTAGATATTCAAACAAGGACAATAAATTTTACATGGAAATGACATCTCTTCATTCCTTTTTGTTTTTTTGTCTCTACGTCAGTACTAAGTTTTAAATTAGATTAACTACTTCTTTCATTTATGTTTTCAAGAAAGTTGAATCCTTCACCATTCCCCTAATGGACATAAGTTCCCTAATGTTTTTAAAAAGTAGTGTCATATGACCATTCTATTATGTGAGAAAAATTTAAATTTCAACAAATAAAAAATGTCAAATCTCTGAATACGAAAGAGTCTTCAAACCCACAGGAAGCTTATGTAAAAGGAATATAATGAAGCAAACTCCAGTGACCAGACAGCTGTTTGTGCACAACCATACTTTGTGGTGTACTTTAATGAACATTAGGAACCTGTCCTTTAAAAAAAAAGGGGGGAAAAGCTCCCCAGTCACTGTACTGATGAAACAGGTTTTGAAACCACTGTTTGGGAACCCACAGCCCAGAGCTAAGCTTTGCTCCATTATGTGCCACAGAGTTTTATAAAGACCAAGGCTACCTGTCCCTAGGCCTGGCCTTCTCTAAAACACACTGCAGCCATTTACGTCATGTATCATGTGACTTGTATGCACACAGAACAGCACTTTCATTTATGACACCAGGGAAGTTAAATTTTTGTTCCTTACAAGAGAAAATACCAGCACACACACACACACAATACTTCAGACAATTAAACACCTAAAGAACTGGGGGAAACCTGGGGGTGAAATAACTAGAGTAATTACAGGCAGAGTGTGGAGTTAGTGGATTCTGTGATAATGGACATGCAGCATGGGCACAGTAGGAAGGAATTCTAGCAACTTGCAGGTGTTTAGTGGGGCAACTTTGGGGAAACATATACTGAAAGAGAGGATAACAGAAGGTAAAAGACATGTAACACATCTCATCAAAAAACTGCAAGAACAGCAGAGCTTCTAATCGTGTCAACCCGAATTTGTCTAATGTATGTTCATACAAACACTCTACTGGAAGGTAATTCTTCTGCTGTATGTTTAGACTGGTCTAAACTGGACACCTCTGGAAAAGCTATTTTGAGACCATGATTAAAACCAAACCCTGTAAATTTTCACCCAAGGATATGCAAATATAGATTATAAAGAGTAAATAAATAAATGCACAGCTTTCTGGTCTATTAAATCACCAGTTTCCAATAGTCATGAATTGGAATGTATCATCCTTTTACAAAAATCACATGAATTAATTTTATAAAATATTTGCATAAGCTCAAATGTAGCCAAACAAAAACATGCATTAATCAAAAGTACTTTAAAATATTTGTTTGCTGGATCATTTTCCCGATCAACTCTACAGAGGGGAAAAAACTTATTTTACAATACTTTATGTGCTGTGAGTGCATGCTAGGTTCTGTGCGAGGCACCTTATATGTATCATGTCTTTCAAATCTCACAACCATTATCCTCATCTTCACAGGCAGAAACCAGAATCACAGAAGCTAAGCAACTTATCCAAGGTCACACAGCTAACTGTTGGAATGGACGTTCAAACCTAGGTCTGCTCATATATACAAAAATACCTGGGATTTGTTAGCTTACAGGAATCTTCTCTACTTGAATATAATGTATAGTATTTTGTACAGTACTTGGTTTAGTAGGTATTTGATACACGCTTATTGAAAAATACTGTTGAAATAAATGAAAGAAGAGGATATCTACCTTAAATATGAGAAAGTAAACTATTTTAAAGAAAAATAATAACTGAATATTATGTTGTGCCTGAAGGATACACTGCTTTTTATTTTGGTGCAATTTTAACCACTCTTTTGTTAAATAATTAACGGTGGTAACAACATACTAGAATGTATCAATATCTATCAGTGATACAAGTAACTACACCAATTATACCTCAGCCATCCATGCTAACATAAATGGTTGAATTTCAGTCTCAGAAACAATATGCATGACCAACAAACTTGCCATGACAAACTATCTATCCCAAAATGGAGAGGAAATAAATTTAAATTGCCAATAATCTTAACTTGGCTGTGCTGAGTACACTCCAGAAAACAGAACTGAAGTATTACTCCTGCCCCCTCCCTAAACGACAGACAAGACCCCGACTGAATCTCTGTCAATGACTAGGGACAAGACGCTGAGGCTCTTGACCTCAATTTCCTTATGATTAAAATGTAACTGTGAATAAAGTGGATTTCAAAGTGTATCTCTGTACAGCCACACTGGCTTTAGCAGAGGTGCCCTGGGACGTCCCTGAGTGGAAAGAGGGTATCAAAACAGCAGGAAGAGGGCGCTGGGCCAACCATCTTCATTCCAGCTTCAACTGCCCTGCTGTTGCCCCTCCCGCCTGCTGGCACCTGATACATGGGATGTCCCTTATCACACTTCCTCCAGACAGCAGAAACTTTCTTCCTAGTCACCAGATTAGATCAACATTATGAATCTATAGCTGGGAAGCAGCAGACAAGTCCCTGAAGTCAGTCTGCTTAGGTTCAAACCAAGCTATAGAAATTCAGCAGGTTACCATCAAAATAAATTAAACTTAAATTATTTGAAAGTTCTAGAAATAAAGTGTTTAAATGGCTGTGTTCGAGATCACTGACAATTGATCTTTTTATGGGCCAAACGTGTTTATATATTAGTTTACATCAAACTAAAAATAAGAATCCATAAACAGTTAACTGTCTTCCTTCTTCACATTATAAAAATTGTTAAAGAAAGTTACTTACTTGATTGTCTGCAGAAACCTCACTCTGTCATTGATCTCATCTGGGATCTTACTGAGAATCTGTTTAAGTGCTCGTGCCTTTTCATTTAGGTCCTGGAATTCTGGCTCTGGTCGTTCAATCATGTATTCTGATAAAATAAATACATAAAAAAAATCATGCTCTACATAAGTTAAAAAAAAAACCTCAAACCAAAAAAACCCTCATTACTTTCAAACTGCTACTTGCACGAAGTCAAAACAAAATAAAATAACCATCCCATAGAGCTCGTCTCTTGGTAAAACTAGAACTCATCAAACATATTAATAGGGAAAAAAATTATAGCATGCACTATAAACAAATGCTTCACTTATGTAGTTCAATTTGACAAATATAAAACAAAAAGCAAGAACTACATTTCTATTTGACATAGTCCCCCCCCCTTTCAAGACAATAATAATAGCAATAACAATAAGGAAGGGGAGGAGGAAAGAAAAGGGGAGGGGAGCAGAGGAAGGCCCTTTTATCAGATAAAATTTGGAGGAAGAGCTTTTCAACAATGGTATGAAAACTAAAGAAGACTCTTCCTGATTACCTTCTACATCATCAGCTGCCATTCGAAGAAGGGACTCTGTGAAGTTGACTTCTACACTTTTTTTCTCTAAAATTTTCATAATGATGTCTTGTGTGAGTCCTGGATTTTCTTTTTCAGCCTGTAAGAAAGAGAAGGCTAGTTTTGAAATACAGCAACTAAGCCAGCATTTTAAAGCCAAAGTGTAAGTTTAAAACCTGTTTGGCACCTTCTTAAACTGATCAACTTATATAAATAAGGGCAGAAATCTTTATAAAGCAGGTGTTGTGATGGTATCTACTTGTTTGGTTAGAGCTTGTACATCTATGACCTGTTACTATAGCCAAGTATATTTCCCATTTGAACATAAAATACTTGACATTTCCTACTTCTCCTTTACATTCCTCCCATCAAACTGATAACAAAGATAGAAATAAAGAGTACACATATATTTGTAATTTTTCCATTACTTTTTCAGGAGTTTAAAGACACTGAGTATTTTTAGTTTTTTTTCATTGAGTAATAGTTCAACTTCAGAATCAAGCAATAATTCATCTCACGTTTTTTTGGGCAGATTCTTTGCATTTAAATTAACAGAATATCAGGAAAAACAGGATTTCTTTTGGAGGATTTACTGAAGCTATATGATCCCTTAAACACCTTCCCACACAATGATTTTCATTTCCCATTTTATTTTTGCAGCAAAAATACCTCCTTCACTAGTTTTCAGAACATCATTAATCCTTTTACTACCTCCTGAGCTTGTTTCACTAATGAGCCTGCATTGGTTCTATGTTACTTACACTCCCTGTGGCACTAAAATCTCCTAGTCATTTCAAGACTGAGCATAAAGTGCTTTGAGTTTACCATAGTTAATTTTCAAGATTTTGGTTTTCCCTAGTAATTCTGCCCCATTTTATTATTTAAAAAAATTTTGTAATCAGTCTTAGTTTCTTTAGGATGCCTGCCAATTCTAATCATTAAGCTGATAATTTCCTATCTGTTTCGCCTTGATACCAAACAGCAAATAGAAACACAATTTATGATCTATCGGATGGCAATCTATTTGCTTCCTTATGTGCCAAGTATGTTTAACTTCTGCCTCCTCAGTTCCATTCTGGTATCACTGCAGATCCAGCTTCCTCTGTTCCTACTGCTCTTTCCATTATAACATCTTGTTTCTCATTAGATTTCAAGTATGAAAAACTGAAAAGTTGTGGAATGAAACGAGAAAAGAAATACACACATTTATCTCAATCCTGGGATCATTTTAACTGCTGTCAAATGCTATACAGGAAAATCATTTTGACAGATGATTAATAACAATAGTGTCCTCCTGAATTCCATTTCTTTTATAACCTGTTTTGATTCTTCCTTCCATGAATACATTTAAGATAGAATCTATTTTAATAAGTAAGAGTTGCCTTTAAAAAAAAACCTACACAAACATGGCTTTAGATGGTGTCAACATTACTTGTTTGGCAAACTGCCACAAAATTATATACAGTACGCTATTTAAACATGCTAGTATTTGGTGACAGTGGTTTATTCTCCCTAAGTAGCATTAAATCTACCTACATAATTAATTACCTTGGGAAGCAGGGGAGCACTCTCTACGTGATTCCAGAGAATGCCAACAACAAAAAAAGTGTCTTTGGTTAAGTTATAATAAGAAATGAAAGAATGAAAGCCTGAGAATAATGTTTTCAGTACCGAGTTCATTTGGAACCCTAAAATGCCCAAGCTGGAGCATTAGAGAATTCTCACCTTTCTGAGTTCACAGTGCTCTTAGTGCCAAAAGAAATACCTAACAGTGCTGCGTATAAAGTTCAAACAATTCAGTAAGTAGTAAGTACTTACGTCCTAACGAAACAGTAGCCTTTAAAAACATATAAATTGAAAGAGAATATTTTATTTCATTCTTAAATAACCATGATTCCTTATTAATGAGATGTGTGCGCCTGTGGGGCATTGCACAGTTTCTCAAATGTTGGAATTAGATTGGAGCCTTTTACTCTTGTTTCCTATTGTACACTGATTTTCCCGTGGTATCAACAGCAGTGGCCAAAAGTCTAGCTTCACAAAGACATGGTATCATTGAAAGGAATGTAGCCCAACCCAGTATGTTCAACCTGCAAACTATCTCAAACTAGTAGTTTACACAGTGTCAACCTGATGTTGAATATCACTGTGTTCCTTTAAATTTTAAAAATATTTCATGACATCCCTCTGAGTTTGCTGTGGGGTCCCAGGGTGCCTCAACACAAACTTTGGAAACAACAGTGCAGCATCTTCTGGTTGAAGTCCTAGTTAAGCTATTTTTTCTTATAAAGCCCATAAATTTAACCAATGACCCTAGATGACAAAACATATATAACCATCCTTAAATCAGAGACTCTATCTATACCTCAAAGGTTTTCCTCAGAATACAACCTTACACTCTGTGGATGTTCAACTTTTATGAAGAATCCAACAGTGAGAGAAAACTATCCCAAGGGCAGTAACATCCACTTGTCTTAACACTTTCAGAACCGCCATAGGTGAAAGGAATCAACAGCAAAATAGGTATCATAAAGGGTAATATTCACTAGTGTTTTATCTTGAGAAAAATTATTTTAATCCTTTTTCTCCGAATAAAAATAGATATTTAAGCTTGGTAAATACCACTGTTGTTGTGGATCAAGAACTGGAAATAAGGGTATATATATGTGGCTGGGCAAGGCTTTTAAAATCTTTTTCAGATTAAAGTTGTAGTTAAAAAAAAAACACAAAAATCTTCCTCTTTTTATTGCATACCCTCCTTTAAAATCATTTAAAATTTAATAAATTAAATACAGCAATTAAGAATAAATCAATGCAAAACTAATATGTTTTCCTCCAAATAACTTCCACTATCCTCAATTAAGAATCAGGGCCATGGATAAATTTATCCATTTATTAAACTAGATCTATCATATCCACATACTTTAAACACTCTGCTTGCTTTTTAACTATACGTTAGAGTTAAAACATCAGCTTATTTAAAAGGATATTACAAGAAAAAGTTTCATGAAATTCATTATTTTATCTCTTTTATGAATGTCATTGAGTATATACTATCTTCTACTTCAGAGAAGGTCCTCTTTATGAGGATACACAGGAGAACTTTTTCTGTTCTTGGTATCAGAAAAGCTGACTTTTGCCTTACTGATACTACATTGTGCAATAGATTACTTTTCCCTCTTTGGCCACAAAGACACTTAAAATAGTGCCCACCATGCCTCCCTAATGACCAAGTATACCATTTGGAATCACACTGATACTTAATGGAAAGAAGAAGAGAAAAAAAAAACCAAAACACTAATGATGGTGTTGCTTCACTGACTCTCTTCATTAACCCAATGATCTGGCAGGATGTATTTTAATGAAATTAGTATGTATGTGTAACACAGGCACTGCATTTTAGAGTATTAAACACATCAAAATAGCTCTTATCCAACACACACAATGTAATTTCTTATGGTGAAATAAGGCAGATGGCTAGTGACATTACTTATGCTACCAGTTAAGAGTGGTATCAATAAACTAATCTTTGCCATAAAAAGAAGTCAAGCTGGATGGGTTTATAGTTTCAACTCCAATGAAACTCAAGTATAAATTTATTCTAGACTTAAACATTAAAATTTAAGTTGTTTTAGCTACTGATGGGAGCAAACACACAAAAAGCAAATAAAAATGAAAATTTGGGGCACCTTGGTATGTATTTAGAATGGGGTGGATTAAGTTTTATATGAAAGACTGTACCCAATACACAGAGTAGGGCTGTCCAAAAGAAATACTATGTAAGAAACAATTACAAGCTTACGTAATGTTAAAAATTTTAGTAGCCACATTAAAAAAGCAAAAAGAAAAAACACATGAAATTATTTCAAGAGTACACCCAAAAAACTATCATTTCAACATGTAATCAACATAGTATTTATTACTGTTTGTTTACATTTTTTTGGGTACTCATCTTCAAAATCTGGTGTGTATTTTATACTTGGAGTACAACTCAATTTGAACTTGCCATATTTTAAGTGGGCAACAGCAACAAGTGGCTAGTAATTATCAACTGAACATCTTAGGTCTAAAGACAATAATTCATTATGAGTGATTCAGCTGTATATTCTCAAATATCCTTAATCTGACATACAGAGTGGTCTTGTTTTCCTGCTAAAAACACTATTTTATACTACGTTATATAGTTAAACAATACAAAGAAACTCTTTGAGTTATAATTTTATAAAAGTTTTTAATAAATCAAATTAAAAAGAATTTAAAAATATACTCTAAAGCTAAAGAGAGAACTGAAGAAGTCAGTTTCAAAAGCATAAGGTGATGAAAAGCTGAATGCTAAGGAAAGCACTTGTTCTAGCTTGGAAGTGTTTTAAACTTTAAAGAGTACTCTAAAACAGGTACAAGACAGCGGAAAAGGTTTTCACTAGCCCAAAAAACAAAACAAAATGCAATTATCACATGGTAGTTAGATTTATACATAACACATATTTTAATCATCATAATAAATTATCTGTGCCTTACCTTGATGAAAGCTGCTCTCAGTGTCTGAGCTGCAGACAGATTTACTCGTTCTAGCTGCAATAAAAATTTTAAATCATTATTAAGATAAATTTTCTTGGAGAAAGCACATTTCTGATATTCCATTCTGTAGTAATCACACTGATACATCCATCATTCAGTTAACCAAAATACTTGCTAATAATTCTAAAGCGCTGTAATTCTTCAATAGACAAGCTACCTATAATTTTCATTAGAAACCAGGAAAAACTGTTATCAGTCCTTTATTTATTCCTTTAAAACAAAAAAGATGCTCTACCTTAAAGATAGATTTATTTTCAGACAATCACAATACAAAGTAAGTCCCTATAGAAAAAATAAACATATTTACTTAAGTTTGAAAATAAGGAGGGTTCAAGATTAACTCGCAATGTTCTGTTGCAAATACATGGTAAATTATGTGTGTACTGAATATAAAATGATGGAACACAAAGAAAATATTTATTACTTAAGATTCTTTGTGATATGTTTACTATCTTAGTCCTTTTTAAATGCTTTACAATCCCCTCAGTCAGGGATTAAACTGAGATTAGTCTTTTTTATTAACTAGCAAATAGTACTGATAAAAGGTTTTGATACTCAAATTGAAGACTGGATCACATGGATTTTAGAGATGCTTGTATCTGTCCTCTATTTTTCATCAGGATTAAAAAATGGTTACCTAAAGTTCTGAATCAAAAGTTCAATCCAAATGCATTTAATTTTTATATCAAATGTGTAAGGTTTACAATTCTGAAAGATAAATGTCCTTATTAGACACCATTTAATTTGCTCTTCTATGAGCTACAGAAGGCATACAATTTCACAGAAATAACTCCATTTATTAAAGAGTTAACTGCCAGGCTTAAAATAATTAGCTTCAGTTAAAATTAGATTTCTATAGTCCCTAAGAATTAGGTCAGTTAACTTAATAAACCTCAACATACATATTTTCCATTTGGGACAATATTAAATGTTCAAAAACAACATAACCTTCATAGATGTTTATGTAAATGGAATATTTCTACAAAAATCTTATAGTTATATATCACATTATGCAATAAATATTCCTTTCAATCCCTTAAGGCAGTGAAAATATAAGTTTTCCTTTATAAATGACACACACACACGTGTGTGTGTGTGTGTGTATGCATATATATACACACATATATATGTATATATATATATAAAATAAATCTCCAACAGTTTAAATCAATTTATTTTCTAAACAAGACAGAAATGCCAGGAACCTTATCTCCCTAAGAGTTACTCACCTTAAGCAAAAACCAAAAGCCAACAAAATCTGCCAAGATAAATAATTTATCTCCAAAAATAAACAATGGACCATTTAATTTAGTATTTAATTTGGCTTCTACAAATCTTGTAAAATCTAACATTGCCCTGGTAGGTAAAATGGAAGACACAAGGGGATCCAGGTAGGCAAAAATAGCAAAGAAGCAACTAAATAAGGAATTTATAAAATTAATGAAGGTATATCTCCAAAAATTAAAATTTTCTTCTTCCACAGAATTCATTTAATCATAATGAATCCTTCTGAAGATTAAAGTAACAACAGTGCTCCTCCGATCTCAAGTTCTTGTTGTGCAAGGGAGGCAGAGACAGACAGACAGGATGAATGTTTCCTCCCTGATAGGAACCCATTTCCTTGTTCGGGTTTACACCGCACTCTGACCTCTTTCAACAAGTTAAAGGTCTGAGTCAGAGGTGTGCCTTCAAGTATCAGCATTATTAACTCACTCTGTACTGCCCTAGCTGGTACGTAAAAGGGTCAAGGCAAGTAAAAGAGGCCCAGAAAGTCAGTGAAGAACTGTAAGATCGGCCAAGATAGACACCAACATCTCTAGATTTCAGATTACACAGTGCACCCTAGGAAAAAAAGGAAGGTCAACCCTAACTTACTAAATCGAAACTGTGAGCTGTGAAGCACCTGACCAGAACTCTGCTGAGAGTAGTTTTTGGGGTACAATATGTACCCACACACCTTGCGATAAACCCGTCAGGCTTCATTACTCATGATATCCCCACTGCCCAGGGAGTAGCAGGTATATAGACACATATGTATTTTTTGAGTGAAACTTAATCATTCACTCATAAATTTATCTAAATTGTTCTTGAATCTATAATTTTAGCCTGTAATACTTAGGTAGCAAGGTATATTTTTACTTTCCCTATTAAAACATGCTTCTATTTTAGGCTTTTCACATGTGACAGATGATTTCATAATAAAATCATGTTCATCTTATCTGTACCTTTCATGACAGCATCAAGTTCTGGTAATATCCTAGTAACAGTTAGCACTTACTAATGAGCACATATACATTATGGGCTTTACTTTACAGAATATCTCTAATCCTCATAATCTGTAACTAGCTACCATCATCTCCATTTTACAGAGAAAGAAACTCAGTTTACATAAACATACCCAACGTAAAATAGGTAAAAAGTAGATACAGGATTCATACCAGATGCGTCTGGCTCCAAAACCCATACACAAGCCACCAGAGCAACCCCGCCTCCCTGTACTCATCCTTCCAAACTGGAGACTACCCTATCACTCAATCTCTTCAACTACTTAAGAACCAACATATTCCTGAATTTCTACCATGTGAGAGAAGTCAGTATGAGAGAGACAAAGAAACAGACTTTAGTCCTGGAACCTCAGAAGATTAATTTAAGTAAGCAGCTAAAGGAAACTGATGGGATCACAGTCAGCTAAAGAAGAAAGTAAAAGTATAAAGATGAGATCTGACTTGGTCCTTGGAAGAGTGTGGCCCCTTAAAAATCATCTTCCTTGACAGTTCTCCCATTTAGGGCTTCTTCAGGGTTGGTAACATATGGCAGTATTATGTAAGCTTGGGGCAGACAGTAACTTCTACTTTCTTTCCAATACTTGTACTAATGAGTCCAGAATTTCTCTAGCTTTTGGGATAACGGTCTTTGGTTAGGGTATGTTTAAAGAGCTAGTGCAATCATTTTTCAGTGGTACCTGATAGTGCATATACCATATTCTGAGTGCAAAGAAAAAGGAAGGGACATACGATGACATTTTGCATTAACAGACACTGGGACATGGAGAGGTACCCTGGGCCTCCGCCATGTAGGAGTTCCATGTAACCATTTAAAGAGTACAAAGAACAGAATCAGAGTGAGAGAAAAGGGCACATAACATCTCATCTCACCTAAAAAAGAAGGCAGTGCAACTGGAGGGAAATGACAAGCTGGGTGAGCCTAGCGTTGAGGTCTCATCTCCAACCTCACATTCTGCCTACTCTCAGCTGTGTGAGCCCCTCCTGCAACTTCCTCTTCATAGCTTTTGAGAGCATTTACTATTAACTAACTGCAAATTTGTCCAACTTAACTTTCTGGATCATTAATGAAAATATTTTAAAAGCTTATACATAATTTTGATTCCACAGAGAGCTCATTTATTGTATTGCTCCCTCTAGAAATGTCAGTTAATTCCTATACTTAATTTTCTAGTATCAAGCCAGTTTCTTAAACCCATAATTTAAAAATCCACTTAACCCCTTGGTTGCTCAAATTTTACAGAATCTTACATAAAATCTTTTGAAAGTTTTTTTTAGGTCAAAATAGATACGTTAGTTAGTTCCCAACTGTCTATAAATCCTGCTTCCTCAAAATCAGGCATGTTTTCCCCATGCTGACAGTCCTCTCCCTTCTTCTCAGCCTCCGTCCATGAAGATTCTTAATCATAGTCTTTAAAAGGAGTTAAACTGAATCAATAAAAACTTCACATACACCTGCTATGATTCAAATGATAATGAGATGAGTTAAGTCAAAAAAAAAAAAAAGTCAGAAGTAGGTGGAATAAGAGTCCACCCGTTAACTTTTATGAAGCCACAAAGAGGGCAAAATGCAATCATCTGTTTTGGATGTATTAAGTCCAATAACTAGTTCTCAAAGAATCAGTTCCTGGAGTTGCCAAGCTGCCTGGCAAAAAGGTAAGCAGAGCTATCTAACTAGTATAAAAATATTCTACTAAAACATTGCCTACAAGTGTGCAAAACTCTTACGGTATGATCACAATTTTGTCAGAAAATTATGTGGAGAACTCCTTAATAATAAACAGCTAACATTATATAGTATTAGTCTATTCTATGCACTACCATGTATCAACTCAATTATTTCACAGAGTTGTGAGAATTAAGTAAAATATTGGTAATCCTCATTTTGCAGATAAAGAAACTAAGACAAGATTATACAGGGTAGTAAGTGGCAGAGGAGTAATTCAAATGCAAAATATTAACTTTGATCACTTTTGAAAGGTGGGATTGTAGGTAAAACCCAACGCCTTCGTTGTGCAGATGTATACTAAGCTCAAAACCTGAGGTTGATTCTTCTTTTCAATAGGAAAAATTATATTTCACCTTAAAAAATTCCTTTAAAAAGTCATAGGAAAAGAAGATACATGTCTTTTCCTGGAATGTAGTACTGAATCATACATCTTTCCTCCTCCATATATATACAAAGAATCAGTAAAAAATAATACAGTACATAAGAACCTGATCTAAGACTTGGCATGAGGTTTCTATAAACTCATTATTCCACAATGCCACCAGGAGACCTATTTCACAGTACATTTACAACACATGCAATATACTTGGACTCTGAACTCTGCAGCAGCTGATTAAACAAGAAGCTTATTCCTTCTCAGCTATCTTGGCATAGCTTCATTAAGTTTAGCAAGCTTCTAGTTCCCAAAATGCCATAAATAACTTTCCCTTGTGAGCTGGAGTAACAGTACTAAAATTTCTCCAGGTGTAAGGATGTCCTACTATCTAAAAATCTGTTCTGTAAAATGTCTTCTAGACTACCAATGTTACTCTTATGAACGTAACGTTAAGGTGAGAATACGTGAGCTCCTTAACTCTTACAATACACTCTGGACAAAATATAATGAATCATTTAGCTTCAGATTAAAACTTCATCCCTACTACAGTGTTATTTTCTGTAAGATTAACTTGACATCTATTTTATCTTTAAATCTACAAAGCAGAGAAAAACAGAGCCAAACTAAACTTAAATTTCCCCATTGGTAGATTATAGGAAAATCCATATTTAAACTATAGTTAAATATTAATGTTTAACTGATTAGGTATCTTATTTAAGATATTACAATACACTGGAATGTCAGAGAACAATGCTAGTATTTTATTAAAAAAACAACTTGATGGCATGATGTTAGATCAGTAAATTCAATCTGAGAATTAGACTCTGACAGTTTGATACAGTATCTCTCAGTCTGCCATATCTGGCCATTTCATTTTCAAAATTCACACCTAACAATTAGTTCTTGAAACAACTATGAATCATTTGGCAATATGTTCTAATTCTGGGCCCATTAACTCACATATGTTTTTAGATCTCAGTTTCTGGAAGAGATGTAGTAGTCCATTCATAGCCATTTCTTTTTCTTTCAGTTAATTTTTCTTACACATTACAAAATTAGAAAAGGTGTATCAGTATTAATTCCAACAGTTCATTTTACCAGAACCCCACATCCTATATAACTGTTTCCTAAAGTCAAGACTCAAATAAGATCATTTTATCATATGTAGGAAGAGGTCACCCAAATTGTTAGGAAAAAAGCTTCTCTAATATTCCTCCTTTATTAACTAAATGATCAGACTGCAGTTCTGTAATGTAAACTGCCCTCCCTTCAAGTAAAGACTTAAAATACTAGATAAATATGGAAAATGCCCCCCAACAACTTGGTCCAATAGCCTACAGAGTTAGCTACACAGACATGAAAAGAGGGAGCATCTGTGGGTAGAAATGGCATATTGGTTCTTGAAGAACCTGAGAAGTTCAAACACTAAATGTTAAGATAGGTCACTCACCTATCCTTCAGTGACTGTCTCCTTACCTCATACCTGGTACAAGGATAATTAGTTAATAATTTATTTGCTTAAACATCTATGTTCCCTACAACTCATGAGAAGAAGTATATTGCCTTTTTTCCTCTGTATCTCTAGATGCTAGCAGACTACTCAACAAATAAATAGTTGGCATTTAGTAAATATTTACTAATCAGCAATGAAGCACTTGCTTCCAATAGAAACTGCAGTCTTACAGTATTAGAACAAAAATGGTAAAATTAATTACTGGCATGTTGGCTGTAGCTGCCAGAGATGGTACAACTACCCCTAAAAGAGCGCCTCCAATGCTACCAGGGTAGCAGGATAACAGGGACAGGTTTTTCAAAAGATGCCTCCTACTTGCTTTCTCTTTAGTAAACTTCTAAATTTCCCAACCTCCTTGGCAGCTAGGTGTGGTTATAAATCTAAGTTCTTGCCAATGAGATGTAAATGGAAGTCTTGCGCAGGACTTTGAAAAAGGAGGCTGAATCAGCTGGAAGTAACACCCCACCCCTTGCTCCATTTTTGGCTCCTTCCAGACAACAACTCAGGACATAGGGATGGAACTTCAGCAGCCATCTCACAAGCTGAAGTGACCTTGACAATGGAAGACAAGCACTGGGATGATGAGACAGAAGACAGGAACCTGAGTTTCTGATGTTATTGGCCCTGAACCACTTACCTCCAGAATTTTTTATGTAAAGAAAGAAATTTTTTACCCAAGTCACTGTTTAGAATTTTCTTATGATCACTGAACCCAAAATGATTTTTGATAGACAGCATCTGAAATTCCAAAATGTATGTCTGAAATGGCAACTAAGTCTGTGGTTCTCAAGTTGAAGAAGATGAATCACTCTCTACTGTCCCCAAGACTTAAGACCATAAAATACATCAAATACATTATTAAACCTAATAATGTGGGAGAAATGGTTTTGAAACCCTGAAACTTACCCTAATATTAATATTTTACAAAAAGGGATGAAACGTCATTGCAAACGGTGAGAGCTTTCAGGAGTTAGTAGCAACAATAAGGTTAACTCCACTGATAGCTTTCATTAGAATAGTAAAATAGCAAAACAAACCAACCAACCTAATTTAATAGACAAAAGGCTAAAGCCATTGAATTTGGAGTCCTAGACTTTATCCTAGGTATTTCAGAAAAATAATCTCATATATCAGGACCTCAGTCCACTATTAAAAGGAAAGGAGTAATTATCTCTAAAGAACTTTCAGTTCTAAAATTCTCTAGACTTTGGCATATGAATATTAACTTAAAAAAAAAAACCCAACCTAAATGTATTGATGTTATTATAAGTCCTAGAAAATCCCTCAAATTAAAAGCGACTACATCTTCTTTAGATACAAAGCAATGGTACTTTCCATTTATCCATAAAATTGTATTTAGTCACTACTGACTATACTCATTAGGATATTTTTGTGCCTGCTCTTCTGGCTACCTAAAATGTGCTAATCCCCTACCCTTCAACACTCTAACCCTTATTTATCTCTTTCAGATGTTAGCATATGTTTCTTTTTCCAGTGAGGCCTGTCTTGACCCCTAAAATAGGTCCCACCTGCTATTTTAAACACACTTTTTTTTTTAAACTTCATAGCACTTATCACAACTTCTCATTTACTTAATTACTTGTATTCTTTTGTTCAATGTCCCTTTCTCCCACTATAGTGAAACCTCCAGAGGGGGAGCAGTACATTAGGGTTTTTTCCCCACTGTTTTATGTCTAACCCTGGCACAATGCCTAACACATAGATGGAATCCATTTATATAAGTATTTGCTATATGAAGGAACAAACAAACAAATGAATAAATGAAGCAGACATTAAGGAATTGCAGAGACTGTATGAAGAAACATTTACCCACTGACCTCATTAAACACAGGATACATGACTGCATAGAGGGGCATAGAAACCATGGAAGTGGTCTCAGCTTCATTCTTCATCTCTTCCATTGTCATCCTCATTCAAAAGCCAACTACAGTAGAAAAAGCAGTGCTAAAATGCAGAAGAATCTTCATTCACTGCAGTCTTTCTTCTCTTTTTTGTGATAAAAGAATAGGGCACAAAACATATACTGACCTGGTTAAAGGGAAAGAAAGAACAGAGATTTACTATACTATATTAAGGGGAAACTACTTTCTTTTCCAAATTAGAGTCCTTATCTTTTAAAAACCTCATCTGTTAATATACCTTACTTGTGAAAGCAACCCTCGTCAGTGAGACATCTCCTGTTTCCTCCTCGGACTCAAGAACTGCCCTTTCTTACAGCTAATCTCCCTCATTAGATACTACTTCAGTTCACAAAGTGGTGATTCACAAACCCACTCATCTTGAATTCAGACAGAGTTCTCTATGAAGCACTATCCAATAATGACATATCTAATTTCATTATATACAATCTAGGAAAATGTATAACAAGATTTATAATATGAAATTATTAACTATGAAATGTGTTATATAAATGTGTATAAAGAACCAAATTAAAGAATTAAGGACAAAAAATTAAGGTGTTTAACATTTTCATTAAAATCCTTTTGCTAACTGTTCATTGATTTGTCACCTAAAAAACAACAGCAAAAAGATAGCAAGCACCAAAGATTTAAGGCAAATTTTACAATTGGGAAAATTCTACCAAATGTGATCTATTTGGGGAAAAAAATTTACTTAGTTAATTTATTTAATATTATTTAATTTTGCCAGTGGTAAAATTTTTCTTGAAACTTTCTGAATCTTTGTCCAAATCTGACACAAAAACTAAGAAGAAAAATCCACACTCATAGTTTGTAAATAAAGTATCAAGAATTCAACAAGAGAGAAATTTTGCCTTGAGGAGTTGAGGAAATGTGTTGTTTTTTAACAGAAAGCAACTGTATTTAATTCCTTTGCTAGAGTGAAAAATGAGCCTAATTATAAAGAGTAATAGTAGCAATATACCTATGTATTAAATGATATATATTAATTTGTTAAATAAAAAGTCATCAATTTTGAATAATTCCTATCATTTGTGAAGTATTTTCAGATTATAAAACATCTTTCACATGCATTTAGTCCTTCCAATAAATTACTTTACAGTAACCGTTATTCTAATTTTACAGATGAAAAAGCAGACTCAGAGATGATAACTTGCCCAAGATCATACACGTAGAGGCCCAAGACTTGATCCCAGTGCACTAAATCCAGATCTGATACTCCCAAATCAGAAAACAAAGTTTGAAGTGAAAACCAAGAACCCCAGCTCTCTACCCAAGAAAATACCCAGAAGTTATTCATTCACTGAATAAATGTATGCTTAGCACCCACTACATGCAAGATGCAGTGGGAGATGAAAAAGATGTGGTTCTAATCATCAAAAATTTATCTGAGCCAGACAGTGAAAGACCTAAGCAGTAGGAAAGATACAAAGGGCAGTACCCAACAGCTTAAATAAACTCTAAGAACCTGTCCCATTTTAGAGCTGCTTACTACTCTTTCATACCCCTACCAGCAAAGGGGAATTCAACCTCTACTGGAACAGTTTAGTTCTGTTTCTGAAAGTTTTTCCTGTTTCAGAGCTTAACTGCTTCCTGACTTCACAGAACCAAATAATTAAATAAAACATAAATAAAAGGAAAAAAAGGCCAATTCCTAAATTTTATTCTATAGGACAAGACAAAGCCAATACCTGGTGAGACCATTCATATTTAAGTAGACTGTTTTGGTCATAGCAATAAGGACAGAGTGGAGGAACAGAGGCTGAAGGCAGGGAAGACTTAAGAGACCTCGTATATCTACACAAAAGATCAACAGGATCTGAATAATAAGCAAGAGGAAGCAGGTAAGTATCAATCGTGGCCTTGACTACTTAATAACCAACAGGCAATCTGCTTTTCCACTTAGAAATAAACTATGCATACCTTTTCATAATTAACTTGGAACAAGGAAGAGGGGCTGAAATGCTGTGATATTAGTCAAAAATGAAAATGATGGATACTGGATGTACAGTATAGGTAGAAATAAAAGGCATTGGTACCTATAAAAAAAAAAAACAAGAGAAAAACAGCAGTACAGGGCCAACAACAGAACTTAAAGAACTATTTCACTGGATGACAGAAAAAAAAATCTTTTATTTGTTTAACAAGTATTTATTGACTACCTATACGATATGAGGCCTAGTACTAAATACAGAGCAGTGAACAAAACAAGACCTCATGGAGCTTATACTGTGGAAGGACAGTGATGAATAATTGTGAATACCATGTAAGGGAGAAGTCAGGTGCTACCCTACTATCAGAGAAATGGATGAGAGAACCAGCATCACAAAAACCAGGTGTTTCAAAGAGAAGACAGTTAGAAGGTTTAGATGCTCTGGAACCTGGACAACAACTTAAAAAAAATTACTTGATTTCCTGATGAGGTCAAAAGTAATGCTCAAAGAGTAATGTCACTTGCATATTGGGGGAGGGCACTACCTGAGAGGCTGAGATGCTGAGCTCGTGAGAGAGGAGTCTCAGTTTTCAAGAACCTCAGCAAAAAGTAGGTGAAATATTAAAGGAGATAAAATACTGAAGTAGGCTCAATGGGATCATTTCTGTTTTTTACTCTTTTGAACCCAGGTGCCTATCCCTGCATATATAAAGGCAGAGTTGAAGGGACCAGTAAAATGGCTAGGGTCACCTTCAGCATTCCTGCTGACATCTACCTATCTCTACCCAACTAAACCTGCCCAAACACTTCATTTTCACCTTTTTAAATGCTGGCATTAAATTTAAATAAAAATTTTGCTTAATAAGTAGCATTGTACCATGTCAGGAAATTTTCATTTAAAATATTTATGATTTAAATTAATTGTCTCTCTCTGTGTGTATATATATATACATATATATTAATTTCTTGCCTCTAAAGCTAACTTTATAGTACTATCAGCTACTATTTGCCATCAAAAAGACAATATTATAGAAACATTATGGGCTATATATAGGTGGTTGGGCCACTCCATACTTAACCACCTTTTAATATTGTTCCTATGGGAAAATATTCCAAAGAATCAATTTATATCTGAACTTTTCAGAACACATATTCACAAATTGGGCCCACACACAGTTTCATTAGTGTTTATACGAGATTTCAATATGGCTTTTTAAATATTAAATTATTCTACCAATTTTAGTTCAACTTCAAGTTAAAATATGCTGTCATTCCTCCTACATGCTTCTTCATTTCAAACGGTTCAGTGGACAACCTGCAATTACTCCAAACCAGTCCAATGCCAAACTCTTAGTCTTAGGAGTTTCCGCCCGGAACGGTCTAACAGGAGGTCTGTTCATTTAAAGAACTGCACCTCTGGTGTATCTCAGGGCTCAGAATCAGCACCTCCTGAAATAGGCTTCCTTTACTCCATCTGGGGGACAACAGAGCCAAACTATTTACTCACATATCCAATGAAGAGACAAATGGAAATCTTGGTACTGACGTACACAGTTCTGGGGGAGAAACAGAAGCTTCTGAAGTAAAGTAAATTCTATACTTAAAAAAATGTGTACACAGGTCTATTTGTCCTGTTTTTCCCTATAGTCAAATCTAGTACTTAGCCCCCTTATATGGTCCTAAATTCTTATAATTCCTTTAATTTCCCTCCCTAAAGAGGGGAAGTTCTATTTATTTTTGTTGGATCTCCAACCTGCCCACGATATTCAGCTAAAAGACGTTTATTTATTCCAGCAGTAAGCAGAATCCGTGAGTTACAATTTATAAGTGTATTTCTTTTTCCCAATAGAGACAGTACAGTCAGCATAGGAGGTACATAGTAGACATGTAATAACTGTTTGCTGAATGAATAACTTAATGAGATAAGAGATGGACAATTTGAAAGTCGAATCAGTCTTGCTAATACTTTTCAAATATCAAGCCTAGCAAAACAAAATCAATCTAATTAATTTTATTAACAAAGTTTGGACCCAGTTACATTTACCAGTTTTTACCTCTTTTTGCTACCTCAACCTCTTCCTAATAATAAGCTAAGAGAATATAAGCACTAGATAACTCCAACAGACATTTACATGAAAACCAAAGAAAAATGAAAGTCAGAGATTATAAATTCCCATGTCTCAATTTCATTAAGGCTGCTAGGATGTGATCCCAGGGACACAACTGGTGTATAATTTAATAGTTCACAAAATCCTCAAAATGCAAGCATTTCCAACATCAGTTAACCTTGCTTTACACATAAGCAAGATCCAAAAATTTATCAAGCTTTAAGCAGAAAGCAAAACTTTCTCTATGACAAAGAGTGGGAGAGTGCTGCAGTTTCTAAATGCTCAATGACCTAAGCCATCACCACCACTTCAGGGCCTATTAAAAACACAAATTCCCAAGACTACTCAGTCAGAATCTCTAAGGGTCAAGAAAGCTGCACTTTTAGCAGCAAGGCCATTTTTGTGAACAGGACAAGTTAGAAATCACTGGTATGAAAAGAACAAGGGCTAGAATCAGAAAAACTAGCTGCTAAGGCCAGTCTCAGAGAAAAGGGTAAAATTAAATTTTACTAAGCACCTGAGACAGGGGTTTTTGGTCCCAATTTTGTAGAAGTTATACTTAATCACTGGCCTTGTTTCCTCATCAAAACAGAAAATGGGTAAAAATATCTTCTTAAAGGCCATTCTAACTAAAATTCAGTGATGATAAAATTTTATTGCTAGTATCTACTATAGTTCCAAAGTAATGTTTTGGGAAATTAAAAAAAAAAAAGAAAAGAAAAAGGTCTCATCAGATCATAAAAACTATTTAAGATTTCTCAAGGGGACCCTCTTCAATGACTGACAACCCCTTGCCTTTTCTCTCAAGCACATGACATCACTAATCAGACTCATCAGGCTTCTAGGGAAACTGAATTTATTCCAAGGTGGGTTCAGATCAGTCTGGCCAATCCACATAGCTGGAAAGATGGATATCTGATATCACACCCTACCTTTTAGGGCCTTCCCATGTCAAAATGTTGTAGCCAATTCCAAACAAGAGACCAAAGGTTTAGAGGAAGCAGCTAGGAAAAGGACAGGCAGAGGAATAGGGCAGAAGATCCTACCTAGACCAAAATGAACTTGAAA